CCCCAAAACCCCAAAACCCCAAAACCCCATATTATAGAAAATAGTGCTTATTGTTGAGGAACAGAATGAATAAATTAAATTTGTAATTATAAATAATTAAACTTTAAATTTTAACAAGATCAAAAAATAATGGTAGAGATATTTGAATCTTGAAATACTTTCCTTTAGTCAATCTTCGATTACAACGGTAACTCCATGGTTGCAATGTCTGGACATAATTGTGTTGCCATCGCTACTGATACTAGATTATCCACTCAGCTTATGACTATTGATACCAGCTTCCAAAGAGTGTTTAAGGTCACTGACTCCTGCCTTATGGGTGTTTCTGGACTCGGAACTGATGTCCAAACTTTGTAATTAACTCTAAGGTCATTTTATTTTAGCAATTCATTGATGAAATTCAAGCTCAACCTTTACAGATTAAAAGAGGGCAGAGATATGAAAGCAGATGTCTTTTCAAAATTAGTAGCAACCAGTCTATATGAACATAGGTAAGTGATATTGTGAAGACAATCAAAATATTTGGTTAATCCCGCTTACAATAAATCATTAAGCATATCTGTAACACATTTAATCATAGATTTGGACCATATTTCGTTTCACCAGTCATTGCTGGACTTGATAAAGTTGGTGAAAATGAGTACAGCCCAGTTATTTGCACCTATGATAGTATCGGATATAGAGAACACAATGGTCAATTTGAGGTCGCTGGTACAGGTGCAGAATTATTGTATGGTGTTTGCGAAACTTTCTATAAACCAAATCTTGAACCAGAGCAACTATTCGAGGTCATCTCCAACAGTTTACTATCTGCTCTTGATAGAGACTCACTTAGTGGTTGGGGAGCTAAGGTATACCTCCTTACCCCAACTGAATTAACAGTCAGATCACTCAAAACTAGACAAGATTGAAGATAATAATGTTGTTTTCTTGCAATAATATAAAGTGTTTATTCCTTATTCATTTGCAATCGATCGCATTATTTTCATATTTTATCTCTTGGGGTTTTGGGGTTTTGGGGTTTTGGGGTTTTGGATGTAACTTAAG